TGCTTAACAACTTGTGGTGTGTTGCTGTCACCTGCAAAGAAGGGTGATGGAGTGACCACTGGACAATAGCAAGGTGCAAAGCCAGAGAGTAACGTTAAGTGACGGATGAGCCGAAATGGCCACTGAACGTTGCAAAAGGATGTGATCCCTAAGAAGGCGACTGCATCAGTCTACAATAATATTAAAGAAGGTGACACATCGTGAGAACCCAAATGACAAGGAGGAGTGTGGACTGCAGGCATGAGTGCACATAAATAATAAACTAAAACATTTTAAAATATTAAACAATGCCTTGAATTATTAAAATAAAAACAAGAGATTTTATTCTTGCGATAAACCAGTAACTCACAGAATGAAAATGATTTAGGCTGCCAGGAAGTGCTGGAAATGACCGGGTCCAACCAAGTGCGTGAAACAGAGTCAACTTTGCTGTTTGTTTAGGTTGCTCATGGTTTCTTCCAGGCCAGTTTTGAATGACTCCAAAGTTGCAGACCCCCCATTCTCTGTGGACAACCTGCTCCCATGTTTGACTATGCTCAAGGTCAGAAAAGAAAAAATGTTTTTCTGATACCTAATCAGAATTTCCATTGCTACAACTTGTTCACTGACTTGTCTGCTGCACGAGCCCGCACGCAGCTGGTGGCACCAGGACAAATTTCCTGTTAGTCCTCATTTTTCCAGACCAAACAGAAGCAGCTCTTTGAAGCTCTCCTCATCCCACTAGCAACCCCTGGGATGCTCTGCCAGGCTCACTCGGATATTTCAGGATTTCTGTTGCCCAGGGAGCTCGGAAGAGGATGTGGAGGTGAAGATGTGGCCTCAAAGCTGCCAAGCTGAGGAGAATCCTTCCTTTCTTCAACCTGCTGGTTACACTCTAGGTAACCCAGACAAATCAAGGAAAAAATGCAACTTATTTGTACCAATGAAATGACAGAAATGCTTGGTCCCAGTGAAAAAAATATTTAAATGTATACAGACTATGAGTGAGTCAGTTATCAACCTGTTCAACTAGTCACTGCGAGAGACCTAGCAACAGATAATAAAAATATTGAGCAAATACATAGACCTTAATTCACCTTGCCAAACAGAACGATGGCCTCCAAAAGACAGGAGTTTTTTTAAAAACTGTATTAAATACTGGGAAAGCATAAAATTATTTAACACTGGATTAGGAATGAATGGATGTGAAGTTGGACTGGCAGTTAGGAGATTCCTAAGCATTAAAGGGATCACGATTTTAGGAAGTTCATCTAGTTGGTAGAACAAAACCATGCTGAACTTTTGGAAGTTCATCTAGTTGGTAGGTTGGACAAAAACAACCTAGTTTATTTTGGGATACAACGTGAGCTGCCCACAAAGAATATCACACGGTTGCCTGCAGCAGAAGGTCTGGGTTTAAGCAAGAGATTACCTATACCCCTGTCTGGTATTTTTCCCTTTTTTTGTCCCTCTTGATCACTGTGTGTTGTTGTATTTTAAAACAATACACATCTTTGGGAATGGCAGATCCATGAGCTGAAGTTTCCATTAAAAAGCATGGCTTTTTAGAATTAATTATTTAAATTCCTAAGTTTTAAAAAGGGCAGACAAACTCAGAATTTGAATAACGATGGCAAACTGCATTAGGAAGAATACACTAATCATTATGTTTCAGGATACGGTGACTGCTTGAAAGCCAATATTTAAATTATTCAGTCTAAGTTCTAATTAATGCACAGGGAGGTACAGAACTGATTTACAAGTAGGCAAAAGTAAAGTTTTTACACACTCAAAGTGGCAAAGATTTTTATTTCACAACACCACCACAAAATCTGAGGATAAAACTGACACTATTGCTTTGTTAAACTGAAGTTAAGCAATTTTCAAACTATGTGATACACAGAAAGCCATTTGAAAGTTCAACTTAGAAAAGAACCAGGATTTTTTTCCAAAAAAATAAAAAGGAAAATTTAGAAAGGTACATACCATGTTTTCTACCCGGAGCTCAAAAGGCATAGGGTTGTACACCATCAGCTGGACTTCACACACGTCTCCCTGGACCCACTGGAAATCTGCATCAAATGATTAAAGAATTAATACAGGAATTGCCCAATAAGAGTGTTATAAAGAAAAAGTCACATCAGCTGAGCTGGATTGCTATATTACCTTTATGTCTAGCTTAAATTCCCTTTTTAACTGCCATAACCCAAGATCCCACTTGGGTGGGACCTGGGGACAAAGTCCCCGTGTGCCAACATTACATTGGCAAAATTAAGTCGGGCATCAATTCAAAATACTTACGCAAACACAGCCTTAATGTTAAACACTTAGAGCTTGTGTATATGGATTTAGGTGCAGACTTGTATCATCTGGTAAAATCAAGACTTGGATAAAGAGCAACCAGATACTCAGTGAATAACAAAGGAAGGAGGAAATTAATAATATTGGAAAGATATCTTCATATATACTTCATATATATTAGACAGTAATTTAGAATAATCTTTAATTTACTTCCTGAGAAGAAAAAGATGGCACAACAGAAAGGTGGTATGTTAGTTTCCTCCTATTCATTTTCTGTGGGAAAGAAGCATGAGAAATGCTGTGATAGGGGACGATGACACTCAGATGCATACACGCAGATAGAGATTTTTTTGAGATGCACAAAACGGAGACTTAACCAATAAAGCAGATTATTGACTGCTGAAAACACTTAGGAAAGCCACATGAAGAGAGCAGAGATTAGGAAATAGGCAATATTTACAATTTATATCTCAATACAATAACACAATGACAGAGATTTGGCTTTAAAGATACTTACCCTGTCAAGTTTACTTTTTTTTTTTTTAATTAAGGAGATGAGAAATTTAAAGAATGTAGGTCAATATCAGAGATGGAATTTCTAAGAAACTGCTTACTGCACAAAGACTATTTTACATCAGCATTTCTCAAGCTTTTCAGACCAGAAACTACTGTCTACCTTCCCAATTTCTCACTGCTCGACACATGCACCTCACATCCACGCTTTAAACCGCCTGTCGTAATATCTTTCCTATCAGCTGAGGAACCATAGTCCTAATAAACAAAAGATGGTTTCATGACAGGCATTAAATAGTTTCTCTAAATCATGACCAGCATCTAATCTCTAACACACATGAATTAGCTTTTAACTAACTCAGTAATCTTAATAAACTTTATTAATACTTTTCAGAAGGATATTAGAAGTGTCCTGTATAAACCACGACCATTAAGACTGTAATTTACGATTAAAACTGTCTGTAATCTAATTACACATTCACAATCATTTAACTACATGGCTACATTTTGTAAGCAGCATTAGACAGCTCAAGGGAGATGTTCTTAATGCAGATGGTTAACTCCTATTAATGCAAGTGGAATTTAAAAACTTCCATTCTGAGAACAGGTTATACTGCTATGAAATTCAGAAATGAAAACTGATTAAAATGAAATGATCAAAAGCACAATTCTATGAGATTTTTGGCAGAATTCTATCTATATGTTTGCTTATTAGTGTACAAAATGTCTTATGTGTTTTCCACTTCTGGAAAGAATTGGTTGTGGCTTTGAAATGCTGTTGCACAGAGCTTCAAAGCACTGAACCCCCATTACAGCTGCTTCAACGCAGAAGGGCTCTTCAGTGACAGTGAACTGTGGTAATTTCCAGATCAGAAGGACAACTACGTGGTCAGAATGCCATTTTTGAAAATGCATCCAGCACACAAACATACAAATACATAAAAAGTGGCTCTGGAAAACTGAGATGCTGGAGAGCCACTGCTTGATCATTCTGAGAGTCCCTCTGAACTTCCATTAACAACCAATTCTGGGCTTCCTTTTTGCAGTTCTGACCCCCTTCTCAGTGCAAAACACCCCCCTACAAAACCACTAGAATTTATTTGTGAGCAAAAATAATTGTGTCTAACTGTTTCCCCCTAAAACGTGAGTCTCATGACAGATGGGTTGCAAGATTTTCTAACGAAACATTCTTGCTGCTTTCGACTATCAGGCTTTTACAACACAAATCACTTCATGTCAAAACACAGTGAGCTTATTTCTCCTAACAAGCGTGGCATTAAAGCAATTTAACCAGAATATAATAATCCCATTTCTTGTTTCAAATCAAAAAAGCTTATCAATTTGAAACCTCAAAAGCTGCAAGCATTTTCTGAGGACTTTTTGTAAGGGCCTTTGTTTGTCTCTTGTTGTCAGCAATACTTGATCTCCCTTGCTGCAACAGTCATTTATCCAAAATTGGGCTTACTAGCAATACAAACCGCACCGTGTAATAAACGAAGTTTATCTGTAAAATCTTCAATGAGCTACCAGTAGTTCAGAACAGCAGAAAAATACACTTCATTATCCACAAAGGAAAAAGGCAGATTACTTGCAGGTTTATTTTTTTAAAATATATCCATATGGTGAATATCACATGTAGGTCTTAAAAAAAACTTCAATTATTTTGAAAGTATGTTAAATTTTCTGCTTCTTGAAAAAAAAGCACCTGGTTTTGTTCTGCATGTTCTTTTGTTTGTAAGAGCTTGAATTAAACATCAGAAAAGTAAATGTATGACTTTTATATGGTAAAAGACTAAGATTTTACATGATCACAAGTAGTTCAAACACCTCCTTGGCCTGAAGAAAACTTAAAGGAATAATCTGCCCTGTAAAACATAAAATTTCAATGGCACAGACAGAGCATAACCAAACCCTGGATTTCTAAAAACACAGCTTCCCTTTTGTAACCATGACTAGTACATAAAACAACTATTTGACAAGATTAGCAACATGGCTTTATTTTAACAAAAAGCTATGAAAAGGTTTTTCTTTATCTCTTAAGAGATTAAATGCAAAAAAAAAATAAGGAATTGAGTTTCTTTGAAATAAATTAGTAAGACAAATGGGAACCATTTTCCAAAGAAATGCCATTTCTTTAGAGAAAATCATTTAAGCTGTTCCCATAGAAATACATTTTTAATTTCTTATCCTTTCTTAGCCATCTTGTGAAATCAAAAAAAAAAAAGACTGAAGCAAAGCAAGCACTAAATCATGCCCAACCAGACTGCCAGATAATAATCCATACCTCTGCATTTTTCATAACCTCTCACGTTGCAGCAACTCACAGAAAACACACATTATCATGAAATGAAAACAAAATGACCAAGAGCTAACCCAGCTCATGGGAAAAGCGTGGAGCACTAAGGAGGAATTGCAGAGCCAAACACAGTCCTGACGAACCAGCCAAATCGTCGCTACATCACTAGAGCAAATTAAGTTTTAAAAATAGAGGAGCAAGGACTGTGGGAAGGGAGAGAGAGAGGCAAGAAGAAAAGAATCCCTGGAGAACACGTAGCTCACAACGTAGGATGGGAATGAGAAATCACCCCGTCTCTCTCACATGTGTTCACATATGGAAAAGGGGGCAGGAAATGAAATCTGGATCCTATTTTCTTCATGTCCATGACGCTACTTCCATCCGAAAAGAGAAACGTGCAACTAACTCGGGCAGTGGCTTAAGACAAGTGACCAAGAAAATGTGTGAGAATTAAGTTTGTATGATTTCTCTTTGGCCAAGAAGGAAATCTCATTAGTTTATCTCCTCTGAAAAATATATTATCACGTATAAGACTTCATCCCCCTTCTGAATTTGGGTAAAACTTCCCTGGATTCAAAAGGCACTTGGCAACTAAAACTTTGTTTCTTCACAGTGTTGGGCAAGTTAATTAATTCACACACAAGGAGGCAATATTCAGGCTCAATCTGAGTTTGACTGAGAAAAGATTATACAATATAACAAAAACACTGAAAATACTGTAAAATATTCTTACCTATTTTCTTACTTCGTTCTTCAGTCCGGCTGTGTGCAATAATTGGAGAATATATAAAGGGGCTTTTGGTTGTCATATTCTGACCAAGTAAACTTTTTATTTTGTGAGGTCGGAGACTGATGGGGAGATTCAAGAGCTTCACAGATCTGTAAAGTATACATATTTTGTGATGATTGTGTTAAAACTGATGGTGGTAAGTACTAAATGACACTCTGGTATTGATTAAAATACTGGAAATGGTAAAATATGAAATAAACACCAGGGCTAAAAAAAAAAAAAAAGAAAAGAAAACAACAGCAACAGGATAAAGGAAAAAAATCAGAAAGGAAACAAATACTAAAGGAAAATCAAAAATACATTTCTTAAGAAACCAGCAAGCACAAAACAAGCAAGATCAGTTACTTAAAACCCAGCTATATAGCTTCCAAGATAAGCATGAAATTATTTTAAAAATAAAAGTGAACAGAGGCACCATTCTAACAGAGTATCATATTTTTTGGCACCTTCTATTATGTATAATGCATTCATGGTTATTTTTAAAAAAATGACAAGAAACTTTCTTTTATAACCACTCAAGGATTAAAAACGACAACTTTTCATAAGCTGGTTTTCGAAGAAGTATTTTTCATAGAGCAAACACAATTTTTGCTAAGGGCATCACCACACTGAGATAAACTAAGAACAAAATACAGTGCTAAAAATGAAGTAAGCTTTTAAATTATACTTAATTATATAGATTATATAGATACTATATATATATTTATAGATAACTATATAGATTTTTTTATATTATATAGCAATTAGGAAGACAGGTACAAGAAACCTACAAAACGGCTATTTCTTTGTGGACTAATTTCCTTCATTCCCCCCTTTCCCAAATCCATCTACTAACCCGGAAGTTCTCATTGGAATTCTTTGCTAATGCTATAATATACCAAAGAGGCTCAGTATGTTAAAGTGGATGATTAACTTTTCATATTTTATTAAGTTCTTCAAACACTATGACAACAGCACTGGAGTACTAAGGAAGAAATCTGCCTTTCTCGGTTATAAAGGTCATAGAAAAACAAATTTAGATCAAGTGTCTTCATTTTAAAATGCAGTTTTTTTCACATGCTAACATGACTTTGTATCAGGTACTGGGTATAACTGAGGTCATTAACTTACTTAAGTTATAGGAGTATATTTACTTTTAAAACATTAAAGTATTACTAAAAAAGTGAAAATAATTTAAGTTCTGAGAAATACCCAATGAACTCAGCACAATGAGTTAACAGTTGCAGAAACCAAACAAATCAGTGTCCCACTAATAAAAGGTATATACATATAGGAGAGCAGTTTATTTTAAAATTAATCCAAATCATTCACCATAATGTGGCACTGCTGAAAAATAATGAAGTTGTTAAGAGTAATAATACAAAGATACATTATTCAGTGATATAAAACACTTAGTAAGGAGTTATTAGAGAACATTAGAAATATTTCAGGACAAGAAATAAATCACATCCATACATTATCTGTTGGCAATGCTTAGTGCCAGCTTCACACTCACATATGAAAATACTGACAAGGAGATGGAAAAATAAAGAGAAACTACGACAAAATCCTGAATGTTTCAGTGTTAAAATTAATGCATTAACTCTTCTGATAAGATTTTGATACCAATTAGAATGCAATTTGCAGCAAACCATGCAAGTGACATTGATTTGAGGGAACTAAGGTTAAACTAGATGAACTGTTAATAAAGTGGCATTCTAATATAAAAATGCTTTGACTCATCCATCATTATTATATAAACATTGTTTGAATTAAAAAATGAATGTCTTTAATCTTAACATATGGCTGTGGAGGGAGCACTCTTAAACCACATATGCAATGGGCTCTTTAATTCATTTGAATAGAAATCTTGAATAAACTAGGTCTTCTACCCCCTGTAAAGCCCTCCTGAATTTAAACAAGCAACAACTAGGAAATACAAAATAACTGCACTTGCTGCTGAGAAGACCAAAATATGTTATTTGAAAAACACTAACTAAAAGCCACCTTTCTTAGAGAAGAAATAAAAATAAAATATATGTATAGTAATAGTAATAATAAAAACACTATACCTTAATAAAGAAAGTGAAAGAAAAACTGGTAGTTGTTAAAGTAAATTTCAAGTAGTATGAAAAATTTATAAGGACAGCTAAAAAGTCAGTGGTAAAAAGGAAGAAAAATCTTCCTGTTTTAAGTACATTAGCAAAAATAGGAGTTTTAAGATGGCTAACATTAAAATAGTAATTGAGTAATACAGAAAAGCAAATCAGTAATTTTTTTTATTATTATGTCCTTGATGATGATTTCATACTACACTTTAATTAAATGTTTTCCAATCCAAAAAATAAATAATAATAATAATAATAAAATGACTTTTGAAGCTTCATCAAAAGAATTAAAGATTCATGAAGGAGTTTTCCAGACTGCACCATAGTATTTGAAACGTCAAAAAAAGTTCCGCAGGCTAAACAAAAATACACAAAAATGTGATACTATTTAAAGCAAGTCAATAATAGAACAGGTATCTAGGGAGATCACCGAAGTGGTGAATCTTGAGCACAGCTTCTCCTAGCAGGAGACCTCTGGTGTGTCTGATCACGCACAAGCAAACCTCAAGTAAAGGTTTAGGTCAAACTTGTTCTACAAAGAGCATTTCCCACACACTAAGTCACTAATGTGAACACACAGTGTTCAGTGTTAAATCCATTAGAACATCCTACAGTGTGCATTAGAAAGAGTTGGTGCCTTTCTCCAGTGAATGTGACAAAGAGAATTAAAAAGTTACAGAGTGCATAGTTAAACCCACTATATAGAACATGGTCATATAACAAACATTCCTTTTCCTTTCAGATCCTGAACATAATGTGAGGATAAAAATAGCTTTCTCTCTTTCTAGAATTTAAATATCTCTTTCTGATAAGGAAACATGAAATATTTAATGATCACTAATGAGAACTCAAATTTCTGAGGATTCCTTTCAATAACTTCTACCATTTTTTCTGGAGGGCAATTACTTTTCTATCAAAAACACACTCTTGACACAGGTTTCCTTCCATTAATGACGTCCAATGACTGTTTTCTGGTTCTAATATTTCACACTGTGCTTTAACCTAGCCTAATTTCAATCTACACCAGACTGCTCATTGCACTGATTAACTGTTAGATCTTGGAATTATTAACCAGTGGTGCACTGAAGACTACGGAATATACTTTCTACTCAAAGGCTCTTTTTTGGCCTAAGAATTTCTCAAATAAATTTGACATTTTAACATTTTCTCGTGTTATTGCGAAGAATTTATGTGAACTCAGAAGACTAGATCCCTCTAGTACCATTTAAAATTTGACAGATACAATGGAAAACTTAAAGGTTGTATTTTGGAGACTTACTTCACAATAGGCAATTTGGTGAAGGGAACAGGAGGCAACTTCAGGCCGTCTGGAAGAGTGATGAAATCCATTGTGCCAGGACATTTTGATGTGTAGCTTTCCAAGCTCTGTGTTACATCCTTCTTTTCTAGAGAAAAAAGTGTTAAAAGAAAAAAAAAAAAAAAAGTCAAGCTTATATGACTTAGTCATAAACTAAAGTCATAAACTAAATTCTTTAACCTTCAGAGAACTCTTTGCATGAATGCTTTTTGCATTCATACAAAATTATTGTAATACACTGCCAAAAAATTTTATTAATTATCTTGGCCATTTCCATGCATGCTAACAGGCTATGCTCCAGAAGCTTTAGTGAGTGTAAGAAAATTAAATTGTCCTAAGCAAGACAGATTTATTGACATTAAGTTTCAGTGTATACACAATTTTGATAGTTTTTTCACCATCAAAAAAAAATTTCTACAATTTAGCTAGAAAATCCACATTCCAAACAAATGGCCACAAGTATTTTAATATTATTAAGAACTCACTATGTGAACAAGCCCTGTTCTGAAACATCGGCTGAAACAATCCCCAAGGCGAAAGGGAGAAATTTACTTTTATTGTCATCATTTTTTAAACAAATATGCTATACTATGCTACTGAAGTGCAAAAAACAGTAACAATTTTGCTTTGGTTTTGTTTGAAAATACAAGAATGTTCAAGCAAACGTGCATGAAACCAGGTTTCCATTATCCCTCTAATAAAAATACCTGACTTGAGTGTTAAAGTTTCTCTTTGAGTGCAAATGTGAAAAGGAGGAGTTTGAAATTAGCAAATTTTTGTTTGTTTGTTTGTTTGTTTTTTTGGAATAGGACAGCACTTTCTTTGTCATAAGTAAAATAAAATATCATACCTTTATGAACTGAATAAAAATGTGCCCAGTGCTGGGCTCCCCAGTACAGGAGAGCCATGGAGCTACTGGAGAGAGTCCAGTGTAGGGCTACAAAGATGATGACGGGACTGGAGTATCTCTCCTGTGAGGAGAGGCTGACAGCTAGGCCTTTCCAACCTGGAAGAGGCTCAGGAGGGATCTTGTCAGTGTGTATAAGCATCTGACGGGAGAATGTCACGAGGATGAGGCCAGACTACTTTCAGTGGTGCTCAGCACAAGGGCCATTCTGGGCATGTCCTGAAGCACAGGAAGCTGCATCTGAACTTCCATCGCAAAAACCCAAACCCTGTTGTCAACACTAGGGGCACAGCCAGTTGTTAACTTGGAAAATGTGCTTATTCCTCCTCCCATCCTTCCCCTTCACCAGCAAGATTGAGGAGAAAATGACCTGGGCTCCTAGATCCTTGACCACCAGCTCTGGAGCTCTGAAATCCCATTTGATGGTTTCCAACTTGCTTGGTACCCACCTAGTATCACTAGTGCCACACGGAAGAGCAGCAGAGGGTAACAGTTCAACACATGGACAAGCCTTTGTGCATCTTGTATTCAAGACTCTGGAAGGCAACAAACCTTTCCGACAGGCGGTGAGGAAGCCCTGCCCAGCTCCACCTCAGCCTGGAGGGCACTAAACCCGTTCCCAACTGCATGTCTTCAGGATTTGTAAGAGCCTTTCTCCTTCTACAAGAAGTGACCAGTGCCCAGCCTTCTTCTACAGTTTTGTGATGTTATGATTTCAGAGCCCTCCAGTAACTCCACTGCTTGGGACACTTGAGATGTATGGTCTCTGAGAACAACCTACAAGTCTTCTGCTCATCTTTATGGATGCTGGGCAGGCTACTGACTTCCTCCCACAACTCTTCCACCTGAAGGCACAACTTCTTCACCTGGAGATGCAACTCCCTCACCTGAAGTACACCTTCTGCAGGAACTCCACCTAGCTAGAGCTTCTCACCAGAGAAGCTAAAGCCTCCTGTAGTTGTCCTTGTCTACCTCCCCTTTCCTGTTAGGGCCAACTACCCTCTAGTTCCTCAGAGATCCCCAGAAAGCCCCAGCAACTTCCCACAGGGTCCTCAAAAGCCCTAAGCAGAGCCTAGGCACTGCTGCGCAAACTGCCTCTGTTTGCTGTGCTCTCATTCAGGATATTATTTTGCTATTTTATACCATATTTTATATATGGTGTACATATAGCATATACTGAGATGGAAAGCAGCACAGCTGTCAAGAAAGAGCGATGACTGCGCCGGCACAGTGTGCACTTAACTTCTGCTTGAAATGGGAGCTCTGTCACGCTGAAGAATCAGCTCTTGTTTCCTAAAAGCTGCAGTGCGAAACTCTGCCAATCGCTGCATTCGAAGAAAGAACGTTGCCATTTTCCAGGAGAGGTTGTTTATAGATTTTAGGGTTGGATTTTCATTTCACAGCACAAGCTCAGGCTGCTTTCCACAAAAGACAAAGCTCAAATGGGACCTCATTCTATCCTCATATGATAAGAAAGCAATTCATACCTTGCTGTTCCCACCTCTGTTACTTTCCACTTAGCACTAGGTCACAAGTGAGATGCTAACGGAACCTCCACCACTGCGATGCATCAAGAAGCAGACTTGATATCAAAGAGCAACAAAAGCATCAATCCTGCCCACGTTTGGAAGCAGTTGTGGGCGCCTTTCTCCCTTGCCTGAGCACCTCGGCAGCACGTACAAATGACACGGACTTTCTGCATAGTCATATTTGCAACCAACCCTAATGGTTACCCCAACCAACAACCAGAGGACTGTTCATTATCAAGCAGCTCTCTGAGCTTTCCTAGCATCTGCCTGGCTGCCATGCTCTTTTGCCACAGTAAAAGGAGTGCACCAGCCTTCTACAGACACTTTCCAAGTTCCCTGATTGATAGTTTAGAAGATTGCCTGTGGCTGAAAGATATGATACCACCAGTAGTTACCTTTCTCTTTGCAGAGGGATGAAAAACAGCTACTCTTGGAGGGCTCTTTATCCACCTAGCGTCTTCATGTGTGGATATGTCAGTAGGAAAACATTCAGCACTTGATCCTTTGACCTTTGAATTCCTCAACTGCTCTAAAGGCTGCACTGCAGCTGGAAGCACTGCTGGATGATCTCGTGCAGGGATTACAGAGATTCATTCACTGAGTCAGAAATGACGGGTTGTTTTCTAAAAGCTGAAATGGGAACACTGGCAATCCTGAACCTCCCTGCAAGTTGACCAAATTCACTGGGGATTAGTGCAACAGCACAGGTTATCTGTACAACCTAATGAACTCTTCAAGATCATTCGTACATATAGCGCAAACACAAACTCTCTCTGAGAGGTTCTATAGGTTCCACTATCTCATTCCATTATCTCATTCCATTATAGGTTCCATTATCTCATTTGGAATAACAACATATAAAACTTTCCAGAAACAAGTACTCCTGACAATTTTATAACCTACAAATTCCATTATCTCATTTGGAATAACAACATTCATGAGTTTTTCTCCAATTTCCTCCCAGACTCATTGAAGAATCAGGATCTTAGAATGACTGCAAACTCAATAAAGCTGAATAAAACCAGTTAGTATTAACACTTGTATCTATATTTCTTAGTTTGTTCTACATACTCTCATAGTACAACTTCCCCATTTTGTACAAATTTGTTTTCATCATCACCTTCATGCTTCTTCTGAATACTGAAAATTTTGCATGTCCACCAAAATTCTTTGTAATTTTTCTCTTAACTATTTCATGCCAGCACAAGGAACACTGCTGCTGTTGCAAACCTGCTTTGAACCTTCTTCTGTTCAGAGACTACAACTACTACAAACTGTTTTTACTCTATAGTTAATCACCAGATTACAGGATGCGAACAAATGATCTTCAGGACCTTTGAGCTTTTCCACAAATTCTAGTTTGGGAGAGATGCAGTAGGACACTAAACATAGCACTTGTATATTCAGGACATTCATTTTTCACCACCACAAGCAAGCCAATGTTGTCAGTGAAGTGTCTTAGCAAGACTTGTAGATCAATCCCCTAACTCAGTATTTCAATTACTTAATTCAGCAGAACAGGGCAGGTCTCTTCCTATCTGCAAGCACCCACCACCTGTTTTTCTGTTGCATTAAGTCTGATGGGAATTAGGTGATAGCATTTTCTACATTTTAATTAAACAAACATATGTGCTGTCCTTCTGAGAAAAAAAAAATAATACACAGAGCAAGTAAATATTCAAAGTACTCAAAGATCCAATGCTTGAACAAGTTGTTCTGTAAGGAATGCCCTGAATGCTGGATTTTCCTCTCAGTATTCTCTACTGCAATAACTTTTCACTCACCTATGCTTTTTTACTGCCCTGAACACTCTCTTTACAATTCTTATCTATCAGAGTGCCAGACAAAAAGGAAAGACTACAGTGAATAAGGGCTAAAGGTCTTTTTTTTTTTGCCTTTCCCTCAGATATGGACACTGTTAGGGTCTTCCTTTTCTTTGCATGAACCAGTGTCATGAATCTGGAAAAAAAAAAAAAGCACCTCTGATATCTTCTCCATACCATGGTTTGTCAAAAGCTCTTCCTATGGGGAAGATGGAAAGGCAGACAGCATATTACATAAACTTTGGTTCTCTGAGAGATCGCGCAGAGCAAGTCTTCACTAGATACAAAGGAGACTAAAACTAAGAAGATCCATAGAGTCTGAAAGGAAAAAGTAAGACAGCAACAAGAAAATAATTAATCTATGCTAGCCAGGTGAATAAGATCCACTTCCATAAACAGATCATAACAAGTAATATAAAAGAAAGTGGCTCCGTTCAGATGAAGAAAAGCATGAGAGCAAAGGGACTCAGTTATTTGTTGTGTAGTAGCACATTCTCAGAAAAGATCAGCTTATCCCTCTCCTGCAAAATTGGTAAAGATGTTTGTTTTCAGCATACACAAAAAACAACTTATTTGTGGCAGATTAGTGTTTCCTACTTCCGAAGTAGAACAATACAGGGAAAGAAAGGGAAAAGACTGTCTAAACACACAAAGGTCTTTTAATACAGGATTTTTAATAATTATCTAAAACAGTTGTATACATGAAGTCACATTGAGCTTGAAATTCACTGCTAGCAGAGAAGTATTTTTAGATAAAACCTCATGAAAAATTGATATAACTAAGTCAGAGTTCAGAAACATACCATTAAAATTTCAGTAGCTGCTTCTC